AAGCAGTGCTGATTACTGCTCCCATGCATCCAGCATACCTACCAAATATACCTACTAAACTGTGGCATATACATCACTGTGCATTACGACCTACAAAATAAAGAAAAATACTTCCTGTTGAGGAACCTAAGTAGCAGCATGATCAACTGGAAAGACTGGATCAAATGTTAATCAGATTACAAGTGAAAACGGCAAAGGTGGCTTCACACAAGACCCTATTAGCTCAAGTCACAAAGCTGCATCACTGAGTGTGACTGCTGTCTGTGTACCCAAGTGGAATGGGGTGGCAATGCACACCCGGGCTGACATCCACCAGCAGAAGCGTGCAGAGCACCTGTCAGTACTATGCCTACCGCAAGACGGGGATTTAGTTCCTCATTTGCACGAACACTAAATTCACTCATCTTAAATAAATATAATTAGAAAATGAGAGCCATTTCACTAATAGTGAGCTTTATTGCTCACCTGGAAAAGCCAATTAGGAGCTCCAGTCCATTAATTTCAGACAAGACAGCAGACCCAGGTATGCTCAATCCCTTTCCTCTTCTCAGCTGGTAAACATGTCCTTTTATCTTCTAATATAACCCTCAGGGCTGATTAAAGGGGGCAGTGAATTGCTCCCAGTGAAAATACTTCTAGCCAAGATCAGCAGCCATAATAGTTGGCCTTAAAGAAGGGTTTCTTGGATCTCTGACAGCTGCCCCAAACAAAACCTAACTTTACCAGAAACTTGGCCTGCTTGCTTTTCCAGCGCTCTCAAAGAATATCAGGCACAGTGAAATGAAAGGGCGATGCTTTTACTTTGCAGAAGGCAGGATCCACTGTGACCAAAAGTGACGATCATGGTGCTTCTACCAGAAACAATTATCCAGGCTGTAGCCGTATGGCAATGTAGTACTACAAGTCCTGACTGCCTATCAGAAACAGTAATTTCAGGAAAGCATCTTTTCCCAAAACAGGACACTCCTTTAAAGTCCCTTAATCCACCCCAAGATGTCCAGTACGCGGGAATCTCAGCTCTGCACTATTCTGCCTTCTCACAGCGCTGTACCAAAGGTGATATCTCCGCTGCCACCAAGTCACTCTGCATGCTGGACCATTTTTCTAAATTCACATTTTGTAACACATCTTGTGCACACTGGTCTTCATGCTAACTTACAGATTTTATGTTTGTTCCTCAACTTATTCACTTGAAATGTTTTTAAAACGAGCGTAAGTCAACCTACCGCAGCTTCTCGGCCCTCCTTCAAACGGGGCACTGAAAGGATGCTTTAGTCAAGCGCAAAAATACAAAATTGGTTAAAAAACTAAGCTTAGTAAAACAGGACCGACAGAAATGGTGTCTTTAGGTCTAACAAGTATTTCTGCAGCACAGGTGTTTCCTTCCCATCTACACTGCACGCATTGAAAAAGTGAAGAAAAGCAGCAGCGAAAAGGAAAAAGGATTTAGGATGTCAGGTTTTCTCAGCGCAGCAGTGACATGGGGAGCGATATCGGTTTTGAAAACCGCTCCTTTCCAGCCGTGCCGGTGACGAGCAGCGGTGACAAGCGGCCCGTGTCCAGCGAGCGAGCAAGTGCGCTGGAGGTGGGACGGCTTTCAGCAGACAGCCGTGTGACGGGGGACCAGAACCACAGCGTATACCTTGAGTTCAGGTGCAAACCCATTCACGAGCGTCCGGTGGGCGCGACATGGCGCAATGCGTGGTGCCCCGCTCCACCACGCGGCACAGCCAAGCAACCGGGTGCCCCAGCAGCCCCCCTCCCCCAGCAGTGAAGTGCTCAGCAGTGCACGGGGACGGAGGGCACAGGCGCTGACGGCGGCAGGGCCCGAGGAGCCACTGGGCCCGGCCCGGAGTGTGGCCAGCAGGCACCTGCATGCGTGACAAGGGGGGGGGACCCCAAAACCCCGGCGG